CTGCTGTTTTGAGTTTAAAAATGGGTTTCTGGTTGTGTGGTTCTGGGGGCGTTTGAGTCGTTCGTGCAAGTTGTTATTTGCAAGTGCGTCGTGCAAACAGGGGTAGCCGGCATAGCACTGTACGCATGCGTCACATTTGCATGCCCGTACGGAGGCCGCCACGGCGGCTGTGGCGGACGAGGGGGAGCTGCATACCCGTGCTGATGCTGTCTTGCGTAGCCGCTGTGAGGTCCGTGCTGAGGCCCACCGCCCCAGCCCCCCCCACTGTAGCTCGGCTGCTGCGGCGGCGGTCCATGAAGTTGCTGTTGCTGGGGATGCTGCTGTTGAGGCTGCTGTTGATGATGCTGCCGTTGCTGATGCTGCTGTTGCTGATGCTGCTGTTGCTGATGCTGCTGTTGCTTCTGTTTCTTCTGACGGTCGCGTTGAATGTGGCACTAGGCGTTGGTGTGGGACAAGTGCGGATGTAGGTAGCAGTGGTCGCTGTCGGCTCCTCTCTCTCCTGCTTTCTCGTTCCTCTCCCTCTGCTCCTGCTCCGACTCCGGGCGCCTCCGACTCCGTCCTGTCCCCCGCCGTTTCCACTCGACCCATTTTGGACACGTCCATCGCCCCGGATACCACCGGAAGCGACGAACGCGTGCCCCGCGCCATTCTTTGGTTCCTCCTCCCGACGGCGAAGCAATTCCGCATGGGCATCTCGTACACCCTTTTCGATTTTCTCGCGCGAGGGGGGAATCGGTGACATAGTCAGAATCTTCTTCTCCATCATGTACTCGTCGGAAAGGTGGTATACCATGTGGGCATTGGCATCTTCGTCGGGGAACATATCACCGTGCGAGGCTAGCCTACTGCGCCAAACAGCAAATCTCCCGAAGTATTCTCGGGGGGTCTCTCCTACTTTCATCTCAAGACCGTGGTATTGGGATGACAACCTTTCCTTCTCGGCTCTGGCACGCGGCTCGTAATTGTTGAGGAAATTTTTCCAGCCTCCACTTGGACTACCATCAGCGATGATCTGGGTGAGGATAGGCATGTATGTTACAGACGTGATCAGCAGGTTCCACGCCGTAATGACCTTCTCTAAGCTATCAGGCGAGTGCATCGTACGCAAGTTCTCCATGTCTATTCCTTCGAGCCCGACTGGAATTCTGTGGTCACTCAATACCACTTCCCTGACTCCTTCTTGCGCAAACATAGCAATCATGTTCGATCGAAAATAAAAAATCTTGCCTGCTCATCTTCCCCTTGCCNTTTGCAATTTGGTGCCGAGATGGTGAAATGGGCTCGAGTCTGCTGGGTATTTAGGGCGCGCAGACACCAGACACCAGACACCAGACACCAGACACCAGACAGACACCAGACAGCCATGGCGAAATTTTCACGCCCCTGTGCATGAAAATTATTCTTTTTCTCGTGCGCACATACTCCACACACGATATCTCTAAACAGCTATTTTTTTTGCAAAACAACAAGGCCACACTTTTCACCAAAAAAAAACTATTATTACTAGATCGGGAGGTGGAATAGTTTTTTGTGGTGGTTGCACAAAAGTACCTGCAGTAGGCTCGTGCATCTGTTACCGAACAACGGGGGGCGGTCCATCATCACCAGCTAGAGAGGGGGGTGGTATCCATCATCATTCGCTAGAGGGGGGGGTGGTGTCCATCATCAGCTAGCGAGGGGGGTGGTATCCATCGTCACCAGCTAGCGAGGGAGGGGGGTGCTATCCATCGTCATCAGCTAGAGAGGAAAAAAAAAACGTTGGAAAATTCCCCGGCTCTCTAGCTGCTGCTGATTGTTTGAACAGGACGCTTCCGCCACCGCTTTAGATAACAGCAACAGCAGCAGCAGCAGAGGCGACACACCCTCTCGCCCACAATGAGTGTAGAGAGGTGCACAGCACAGCAGTGGTACTACATCGTCTAGGAACGAGCGTGATGTGTTACTGGTCCCGTGCTGTGATGTATGTGTGCCTCTCTCCAGAGCAGAGTCAGAGGCCGCTCCCTCCCGCCGCGTCGCAACACAATAACAACAACCAACCGATGGACCCACAGAGACCCAATCAATATCTCTCCTCTAGCTTCCTCCGCTGAAGGCTAACAGCAGCAGTAGTGCAGGGCACACCCTGCTCCCGTCCCGCTCTCGCTGTGTGGTGTGTGCAACACACGCTGGTTGGTGGGACTCCC